ACACACACACACACACACACACACACACACACACACACACACACACACACACACACACACACACCATCAATCAGCAAAATCCCACTTTATATTCTAACTTAAGGTCCAGAAACGAACCACAGACTGCTTTGTCAGTGGTCATGTCCGTGAAAGGTCATCTGTTGGACTCGGTGTGGTGGAATGAACGAGTGGTCCCTCTGCGCAGACCGCTGAGTTATGTTCTACCAGATCATACCAGGACGTGTGCGACTCCCACACACAGAATTACACAAAATTACAAACACACACACAGATTCACACACAGGGTCTTGAGGTGTTTGCTTTATTTAAGGAAAAATATTTATGTGCAATGTGACCTCTGGAAGGATACAAACAGCCATTGTGTCTGATATTACAGAGTATCTGTGGTTACAGGACCAGGTGTATGTGAAGATCTCTTCTGTTTCTCCGTCTTTCTCTTACAGTTTATTGTTGTAAATGTAATGTCGTCACGGCAGATGACGACGTGTCCACGTTGTGGTGTCAAAATGTCTCGGGAGCTAAGTAATGCTTTATGTGTCATGAAAACAGTGTCACGATTTGAATAAACCGCCACCTGGTAACTGGGTTGATTGTTGACTCTCAGTTGGTCAGACTGCACAAAGGTTTTAATGAAAGTAACACTAAAAGCAAAATTGGAAATTCAGTGTTGCTAATTTAATAATATGTCAACCGGTTTATTGAAAGGCAAAAACAAGAAATGTTCTCTCATATAATAAATGTTTTTATTACATGTCAAATCTAGCTTTGTCAGTGGTTTAAAGATGACATGACTATGAAAACTTGTGTTTTGCCTTTTCTCACTCTGAGCTTAGTAGCATTGCATTTGGGTAAATGCCCTTTTTATTTACAAAATACATTTACACTGCAGTTGGCTTCAAGTTTGAGTGCTCTTCATCAGGCCAGAAGGTTAAATCCTGTGAGGGCTAAGTAATCATAACCCTTGACCCCATGCTGTTAAGAGTACTCATGTTTTGGCATTTGAAAAATGTTCTTGGAGCAAATAATAAAAAACAACTTATGTCTGAGTTAGGTGCTGATTGGGTAGTGAAAACAATAATTGCATCCTCACATTTTTACATTAAAGGAACAAACACAGAAAAGAAAAGATAGGAAGAAAAATATCCTCTGATAGTTGAACAAGTACTATTTCGAATTTCTGCATAAATAACTGCTCTATAATAAGGATCAATATGAGAAATGGAGAAGCAATTCAAGCTAAGAGCATGTTCATGGCCAGGAGTGAACATTGTTTAATCCCACTACCAAGACGGTGTTTAGTAAAGTTATGTCAAAATTAGCCTCCAAAGAGAACAAGTTTAGCTCTCTTTGGAGGCTATGTTGTTTTAATTGCATGACTGTCATATTTCACTGGACAGCTGATTGATTTGTTGCTGTGTTTTCAGCCTGCTGTGACAAACTATGCTTTTTTGATCAGGCAGTAGCAGGAAGTTGTGAAGAACAGAGCACATTCATTTTTTAAAATGCAACATTTCATTTAAAGCTAAGGCGGGGCTTTAATCCGTTTTTTAGCTTCTTGCGCTCTGCATAATAAAATGCTGCTGCTAGAAATGCTTTAACAAACAACAGGCTGAAATGCTTGTCAATCATTAAAGCCAGAAAAACGTTTACCTTTTGCTGCTGAACAATCGCAGTACTGCGGAGGCTGATGAACTTCCTGAAAGGCAGAGACTCATGTGAAACTGAGCATCATTCTTCATCATTCTGGCATTTATTGTTGTTCCAATCATCAAGAAATCATTCAGATCTCATACAAGACAGCTTGATTTATATTTTGGAATTTTTCAACGTAGCCTTGCTCTGCTAATGGAAGCAGACTGCATCTACCACACGCTGACCTTTAATGAACAAGAAGTAACATAAAGCCCCAGGTGGAGTATTACAAGAAGTACCATGGAAGCTGTTTGGAAAAAGACGCTTTCAAGAAAACTTGGTCCATTTATCAACTTGAATGGTAAATGGACTGATTCCTATATAGCGCTTTTCTACTCTCCAGGAGCACTCCAAGCACTTTATGCACATTCACCCATTCACACGAGCACTTTCTGCTATGTTTAAGTGCTTACTAGTCGGGGTATCATGCCGGAGGATATTTGGCACGTCCACTCACAGATAACTGCCACGTTAGCAGGTAAAAGACATGATGCCATATGACACGGTTCCTACTCTTCACATTTTGATCTGATAGAGCTGTGAGTTAGCCATCTACTGACAAGACTTTATCTGGTATGCTGGTTAGTGTGTGTATCGGGCCATAAAAAAGAGGATTTTTCTGGTCCTGATGAAAACTAATACAAACTCTAATGGCCTGAGTCTGGCCTTGGGTGAAAACAGGAGAATGCAAAGAGCGTAATTAGTGAGCATCAGACAGAAATGACCCTGCAGTGACCTGGGCACAAACAAACACACACTCCATCCCCTGAAAACCGTACAACTTTTGATATTCCTTCTGTGCTGATGCTATTATACGAAACAAGTATTGTAAGGACTTTATGATGAAGCACTGAAGTTTTCACAATGATTTTTACACCAGCTATAAGAGATAAAACACAATAAGTTTGGGTTTGGCACATTTTCACCTCCAGCTTTGATTGTTTTTGTAAGTTTTTCAGTTTAAGTGCACAAGTATTTGAAAAACAACAAAGGAATCACATTTCTGCCACCATGACACCATGCATTGGTACAGTGCTGTGACAAAGTCTTTGTCACCCTCCTAATTTCTAATTTTGTTGCATATTTGTCACAAATACATGTTCATTTGAACAAATGTTTACATTTGACAAACATAACCAGATTAAATACAAGGTGCAGTTTTAAATGATGAGTTCATTTATTAAGGACCTTCCAAAACATGTGGTCAATCATCACTGCTGGGCAGATACTTCTTAACATATGCCAAGGCCCTTGAAAAACATTTCTGATAAATAATCACAGCAATGAAAAAAATGCAATGAAGGACGGGAAATGAAACATTTTTGGCACCGACCATGACGTGGCATGGTTTTGAAATTTTCATTTTTATTATGTCCACTTCCTCAGTGTGTCACATTCTACAGTGCAGCCGTCCTCAGCAGTAGACATCACACCCTCCTGTAAGATCTGCTGTTCTGAGATGGTCACATCAGCCTGGACCAACAATTCTAATTTCCCTAACTGTCTGAATCATACTTTAAAAACGTGAACAGGTGCCATGTCTCCTCCTCCCTGAAAGCAGTTTCTCACCCAAACCACATGAAATATTTTGAGTATAAAATTCAGTTTATTCACCAAGCATGAGCTACAGCTACCTGTCAGGAGCTTTTTAGGTTATGTATTCTGACTTTAGTGACTTTGGATTTATATTTTCAGCTTGAAATAAGTTGGGCTCTAGCTCTGACATTTAGCCTTCATAGTTTAATGTCATTCTCATTTCTGCTTCTGAGTTTTGTTATTTATATTCTTAGTCATTGGTTTGTAACAGTTTTAGTCCCCTCTCATGTCACCCTCCATGTTACCTCTGGTCTGATCGCTTACAGTTCCATATTAGGTTCATAGTCTGTGGTCTATTAGTTTTTTCTGTGTTCTCAGTTAGTGATATCTAATTACCTTCATCTTTGGTTCCTGTCATGTCTCCATGTCTCTCTTTCCTTGTGCTCTGTCTCCTAGTTAGTTGTTTAAGCTTTCAGTCATGTGTTTGTGTTCTGTTACTTTGTTGCTGTTTCCAGTTGGTGTCTCGAGCCTGAGTCTCTGAGTTTGTTATGTTTCCTGTCTTAGTTTGATAGTCTCTTGTCCCGTGTGCATTATGTTCAGTTTTGCTTCCCGTCCCTTGTCAGTTAGATTCCGTTCAGCCATGTTCCCCGGGTGTTTCCTCTCTGCCCTGATTCCTTCCTGTGTGGTTACTGCCTGCATCTCCCTCTGGTCTTTGTCAAATCGTCGTCATACTTTCCCCGTGTGTTCCCTGTTCAGCAGCTTTTTAACCAGTAAGTGTTTAAATCCTGTTTAGTCTTTCTTTTATTTTGCTCCTCGAGCTGCAGCAATAAAGCCGTTCTGAGTTCAGTCCTGCCTGGGTGTCTGCATGTGGGTGCAGCCACACATTGACACATGACACAAAGCTTTCTGATTGCTGTTCCCACAAGACCTGGTGTGTTGCTAGACATAAACAGTTACTGAGTACAACAGAATAAATTCATTTAACAACATAACTGTTAAAGAAGATCATTGTTTTCTCCTGCTACTTCTTCAAACTGGACAAACTGGAACAATATATTGTTGGGTGTGATGACCAACTCCCCACACGGGGCAAGAAAAAAGGACACAGAGTTACAACAAGCTCCACTCTCTCTTCAAACACCTGGTTCATCAGACTCATCTACCAGTTCACCCACTCAGACAGAACCATCAAACTTTTCTTCAGAGGTCAGTGATATTCTTTTATCCATCGACAAGAACCTGAAAACTCTAAACGCAAGAATCCCTGTTTTCAAGTTGCTACTCAAAGAATTCCAAGAAATAAAACATTTGTCATAAGCAAATACTGACTGTAACTGAAGACAACAAGCAGTTAGAAGCTTTGGTCAAAACTCCCACAGACAAAATAAGCACAGCAACCAAAGACACAATTTAAACAAATGGTTCTTGATCTACCAATTTGCTCAGCGAGAGACAATCTCGTCATCTCTGATATCGTGGAATCCTGCCATCACTCTTCTATCGAACATGAGAGCATTTTATTTTATTTTTTATTTTTTATTTTTTCTAATTTCACCTGCTGAGAAAGAAAAAAGAAAACAAGCAGAAGAGAACAAGAGTAATAGAATAAACAACATCACAATGATATATGGGAATATGACAGTAAATACTAAATATTAAACATTATTGTGCAGCTCATAAGATCAACAGAACACAGTGTGCTTTGAAGTAGGAGCCAAAAAGGGT